ACGGAGGTATCCCGGTGAGTGCCCTCCAGCTCCAAAATCCCCTGGGGCAGATTTTTAACGCGGGCTGCAGCCGGCGAAGACGAGGACTTGGTGTTAGAGGCAGGCTGCTGCCCCGGGGTGATGCGCAGCAAAGCGAGCCCTGAGCCCCCGCGTTCTTCACCCTCAGGAGTCCCCCAGGCTCGTGGTATGTTTTGCGTTGGAGAATCGGCGTCCTGTCACCAAAAACCAGCCGCGTGTCGCTGGCTGCCGATGGGGTAACGTGTTTGCAGACCCTTTCTGGAAATCCCACGGGTGTCCTCGAATGGGTTGCAGTCCATCAAGCCTCAGGCAGCGGCAGCCCTACAAGCCCCAAATATTTTCTTAAACTATGCTGGGCCACACACCCTTAAAAGCAGATAGGCCTATGCCATCTGCTGCTTTTTTTTTTTTTTTTTTTTTTAAATACCTGATAAAAACTTGCTCTAAATGGTCACTCAAGATGCTGCCTCTTGTCCTGGGTGCCTCAGCCCCTGTGGTGCCCCGGGGTGTAGCCGCCTTCCTGGGATGCTTGAGCCAGGAGTTCCCATTCCCACCCTCCTGCTGGGATCTGCTCCTCTGGGTGTCGGTGAGCACCCTCAGGGGAGCCACCCCAGAACACCCTGCTTGGGACCTGTCCCTGGGAAGGGCGCAGGTCCTCGCGACACATCCAAGGGAAACTCGATTTTGCTCGATGCTGCCGCCGAGCTCCAGAAGAAGAGGTGAAGTTACCGAGAGGACTGGGAGAGTCCTGATGCCCCAGTGCGTCTGCCGGGCACCCCAAACCCGAGGCATTTGGAGCAAGGGACGGCTTTGACAGCGTGACTCCTGTTGGCGTTGGCAGCGCCGGGTGTCGGGGGCCAGGCTGCGGGGGTGGAGAGCCGCAGAGAGTTCGTCTCTTGTTATTAATTTGCTGTTTCTTGGCTTTGCACCAGGTTTCAAATTCAAGTGGGGGTTTGCCAATTTGCCTTTTTTTGTTTCACTGCGGCGCTCTGCTCCCCGGCGGTG